AGAAACACTGCGGTAAGGGTATCAAAAGACATAGATCAGATGTCAATGATTGTGATTACTCTACGAGTAACTACAGAGTAATTACAATCATTGACATCTGATCTATGTCTTTTGATACCCTTACCGGGATACGGTACTTTTGTATCAATTTTAAACTATTATTGACGAGTTTTGTAATCTGCATAGAAAGCGCCACCCCTCATTGGGCGTCTTGCATTCTTTGCAGAATAATATTTATACATTGTTATGTAATGGTCTGCATTCAAATAATAAAGTGATTTTAAATTTATTTTTGTTGTAGTGCCTCTAAAGTCTGCAATTTGGCCTTTTTTATTTCCTTTTGGTTCATTATGTTAATCATTGGCCGTGGCACATAGGAGCCTATTATATGTCCCTACAGTCTGTCACTCTGTGTCGGGTATTTTTCTATGTCATTATTAAAACCTGTTTTGCACCATATCGAGATCCGTGGTGTGCTGGCGAATATGTACAAAGGGGCTATACAGCCACCACTGAAAATTCACTGAGCTCTCGTAGGAATGAACTGAATTTTCTGCACATGGATAGAACAGCTGAAAGACTGGTAAAGATAGCTTGCAGTGGCAGATGTTTTAGCAGAGACTCTGGGGGTTTACCCACAGCTACTTTCACACTGATCCATAGCAAAATGAGCTAAAAACATATATGCGTTTTTTCAGTGTGTTTTACACAGGACATGCGACTCAAAAACTACATCAAAACTGCAATGTGAGTGTGTGTTGATGCATTTTTGCTACGTTTTCCATGGATTTCCATGGTTTTTGGTGTAGTTTTTTTTTTTTAACCACACCAAACCTGCACAAAAAATGCAGCAAGCAGGATTTCACTAAAAGCAGCAGACTCGCAACAGATCAGTGTGAAGAGTTCCATAGGATTACATGGTCACACATTTCTTCTGCTTTTTTTAATGCAAAAGCGGAAGAAAAACAGATCCGTGTGAAAGTAGACTAAAGTTGATATCCAGCTTTTAGTGAAGTTTAAATATTTTGTTTGGACTAAGCTGCTCCAAATGAAATATTACCTTCACCAAGAGATGCAGATTCTGGGAGCACGGTATAAACTGTATGTAGCCCCTGCTATATAGAGTATACCAGTGTTTTTCAACCTTTTTTGTGCAAAGGCACACTTTTTTCATGAAAAAAATCACGAGGCACACCACCATTAGAAAATGTTAAAAAAATTTATTGAAAAACTTTTTGACTTGAGGGCCGCAATGGGTTCATATATTGGACCCGGGGGCCGGACCAAGAGTAGATGAATGATGTGTATGTGTCATCCATAGTAAGTATAGTAATATTCCCCCATAGTAGTAAGCATAGTAATTAAATCCCCCATATAGTAATTCATCCCCCATATAGTAATTCATCCCCCCTATAGTATAGTAATTCATCCCCCATATAGTAATTCATCCCCCATATAGTAATTAGGTCCCCAAGCCCCCCCCCCCCCCCCCCCACACCCCCCAGTGTCAATTCACTTACCTTTGCTCCGCGCGTTCCTCTCGCCGTTCCGGTGTAGCATGAAAATCTGTCTGCTATGAGGATCTGTCCCCCTCGACGTATCTGCGCATGTGCCAGTTTCAGGCATTAGCAGCCGATCGGCGATCTCCGGCACATGCGCAGATACGTCGAGGGGGACAGATCATCCTGACAGTATCACGCTCATCCGCGGGCCGGATTAAAAGGTCCGCCGGGCCGTATACAGCCTGCGGGCCGTAGTTTGCCCATTGCTGTTCTAATGATTGGTCTATTTGTGAGCCGAGGCCACATGTTACGGATGAAATTGCAATTTTTCCCACGGCACACCAGACAATATCTCGCGGCACACTAGTGTGCCGCGGCACAGTGGTTGAAAAACGCTGGAGTATACGACCCGTCCCACACCCAGAACAAAATTGAGCTGCACTGGGTGCTGCTTAGCCATTCACAGGGAGACTTTTATTTTCTGAATAAATATAAAGCTCCCTCTGATTGGCTGAGATTGTGATGTCATCTGCCAATCTCTCTGCCTTGGCTAATCAGACGAAGCTCTGTACTTGAGGTCTATGAGGGGGGGCATACTTAGGAAGAGGGGTGGGGCATCCATTATAGGGTTTTTAATAGAAAGGAGACCTTGTAGTTTAACCACCTTCCTACCGGGTACTTTTACCCTCTTCGTGCCCAGGCCAATTTTCAGCTTTCAGTGCTATTGGACTTTGAAAGACAATTGTGCGGTCATGCAACACTGTACCCAGCTGGAATTTTTATCATGTTTTTTCACACAAATAGAGCTTTTTTGGTGGTATTTAATTGGCACTGGGTGTTTTATTTTTTGCACTATAAAACAAAAAAAGAGCAAACATTTTTAGAATAAAAAAAGTTTTTCTTTGTTTCTATTATAAAATTTTGCAAACAGGTAATTTTTATCCTTCACTGATGTGTGTTGATGAGGCTGCACTGATGGGCACTGATGAGGTGGCACAGATAGGCAGCACTGATATGCAGTGATGATAGTCACTGATAGGCAGCACTGATGGGCGATACTGCTGGGTGGCACTGCTTGTACAGCCCTGATGGGTGGCACTGATGATGGTCACTGATAGGCAGCACTGATGCGTGACACTCACTGACGACTCTGTTGAGCAGCACTGCTTGTACAGGACTGATGGGTGCCCCTGCTGGGCACTGATCAGCAATGCAGATCTGTTCTGTCACATTTGCCGGTTATCAGCAGTACTTTCCTCACGCTTTGACAGCAAGAGGAAAGTGCTGCCGATAACCGGCAACTGCATTTACTCCGTGATCTGCTGTGTCATTGGACACAGCTGATCACGGAGATTGCTGGTGCGCGCCCGGGAAGGCGTCATATGACACCCTCCCAGAACTGGAGAACCACACTGTAGCCATCATTCGACTATAGCGCGATTAGCAAGTGGATGAAGGAAATATTTAGTCACCACATACACATTCATTTTATAGCATTACAGCATTGTAATAAAAATACAAACAATAGTCATACTTGACAATCCAATATACTCATAAGCTTACTTGAAAAATCTCCTTTCACAATGTGAGTGATCCCTGTCTCCTGGCTGTCTCTTTCCACAATTTCCTGGATTCCCAGCTTGCTTTGCAGCTTCTCCTATGCTATTTACTTTCAATTTATAAGGACTACATATCCCATGGTACCTTGCTGCCTGCAAGCAGCGATTCTTGCACTGACTCTGCTCCTTATAACTTCTGTAGTTCAGAAGGCAGGCTCTGTGAAATGTGTGACACAGTAGTGCCTACTCACTAAGCATAGTGATTACAGAAGTTAAGAAAGTAAATCTATGGAGATGTTCACAAAGTAAATTTATAAACGTTAAAGTGTTAGTTCACCTTCACCACAAACTTCCCTATGCAGTCTGTGTATAGTAAACTGTGTGTCTCTGACTAAAGTTGAATAATAACCTTGCTATAGGTGTAATCCATTTATGTACCCCCTGAAGCCTGGCTGGAAAACTCCCAGGGCATTGCTAAGCGAGGCCTAGCCATTACTGTTCACCTCCAAAACCAGGATGTGTGAACATTTTTTCTTACCCATAGCCCCTCACATGCGCTCTCCCCCCTGATGTAGTAGTTCTGAACTTAGAATCTAAGAGCTCACTCCTGCGTTGGTGGAGGTGAGCAGTAATGACTAGGCTTCATCTAGCAACACTCTGGGAGTTTTCCAGTCAGGCTTCAGGAGGTATGTAAATGGCCTACATCTATAACAAGGGCATTATTCAACTTTAGTCAGAGCTGCACAGTTTGTTTTTTCTCTATACACACCCCCTTATCTGCATAGGCAGCTTTTTGGTAAAGGTGAACTATCCCTTTAAGATCATTCAGGTTAATAGAAGTAGGCTAGAAATTATTAAAATAAAATGTGGAAAATAACCTGTCAAAGCCAGCTACCCGCTCCCACCCCTAAAAAAAATAATAAATATAGGTACTCTGAAATGCTGGCAGCAAGAGTTAAATGCTGGCCCCTAAAGGTGAGGTTCCAAATCCAACATTTTCCTCTCCCCTACCCATGCCTTAGTGCGGATTACTGAATAAGAGGACTGTAGTTTTGGATTCAATTTCTCATAAACTACCCATTTTAGATTGCAAGCTCTAACCAGCAGGGCCATCTGATCCCACCTGTATTCATTTGTATTGTAATTGTACTGTCTGCCCTTATGTTGTAAATCGCTGTGTAAACTGTTGGCGCTATATAAATAATGTATCATAATAATAATAATAATAATAATAATAATAGAGACAGAGGTCTCGACAATGGAGACACTCTTCACGCTGCTTTCGATTGTTTCTGACCCAATGATCTAGAACAAGTATGCAGACCATGAAAGTGAAAGGAACGTTCGAGTCATCTGCTTGTTACACGTCAGAAGCTCAAATCTAGAAGTGGATCAACTGGTTGCCTTAAAACCAGCATTTTCAGTAGAAGAGGTCAGCATAGCTGTCTTCCTGTTTCTCTCACCAGATTTCCTCTGTGGAGCCAACATACATATGATTCCGCTATTGGGCTCATGCTGTCATTAACTTCGGTATCTGGCTCCTGAGTGTTTTCCATTCCTGATGGAGAAGTCATATTGGAGGAAAAGCACAACTAGTGTTTTTAGGAACTACAATCAAAAAGAATTACTGTTATTATTTTTTCCACTAAGCTTTAGGAGCGTGTGTCAGCTAGGTGGAGTTAAATCTATTAAACCGAATAATACTAGTAACATTGGAGTGGTATTTGATGATGACATACTGGATTTATAGTAAAATGAACAGGGATGTGGCTGGTTTAAAACACTTGGCTAATAAGTGATAGCTGGATTAAAATATACAGTACATTTATTTATGACATGCACTATACTGCTAACGTACTGGGACACCCCTCCAAATCATTGGATTCAGGTGTTCCAATCACCTCCATGGCCACAGGTGTATACAATCAAGCACCTAGGCATGCAGACTGCTTCTACAAACATTTGTGAAAGAATAAGTCGCTCTCAGGAGTTCAGTGACTTCAAGCGTGGTACCGTGATAGGTTGCCACCTGTGCAATAAGTCCAACTGTGAAATTTCCTTGCTACTAAATATTCCACGGTCAACTGTTAGTGGTATTATAACAAAGTGGAAGGAATTGGGAACAGCAGCAACTCAGCCACAAAGTGGTAGGCCATGTAAAATGACAGAGCGGGGTCAGCTCATGCTGAAGAGCACAGAAGTCACCAACGCTCTGTAGAGTCAGTAGCTAAAGAGATCCAAACTTCGTGTGGCCTTCAGATTAGCCCAACAGTGCGTAGAAAGCTTCATGGATTGGTTTTCATGGCAGCTGCATCCAAGCCTTACATCACCAAATGCAATGCAAAGCGTTGGATGCAGTGGTGTAAAGCACGCAGTCACTGGACTCTAGAGCAGTGGAAATGTGTTCTCTGAAGGGCGAATCCCGCTTCTCTGCCTGGCAATCCGATGGACATGTCTGGGTTTGGCGGTTGCCAGGAGAACAGTACTTGCCTGACTGCATTGTGCCAAGTGAAAAGTTTGGTGGTATTATGGTGCAGGGTTGTTTTTCAGGGGTTGGGCTTGGCCCCTTAGTTCCAGTGAAGGGAACTTTTAAGGCGTCAGCATACCAAGACATTTTGGACAATTTCATGCTCCCAACTTTGTGGGAAAAGTTTGGGGATGGCCCCTTCCTGTTCCAACATGACTGCGCACCAGTGCACAAAGCAAGATCCATAAAGACATGGATGAGCAATTTTGGGGTGCAGGAACTTGACTGGTCTGCACAAAGTCCTGACCTCAAGCCGATAGAGCACCTTTGGAATGAATTAGAGCTGAGACTGCGAGCCAGGCCTTCTCATCCTACATCAGTGCCTGACCTCACAAATGTGCTTCTGGAAGAATGGTCAAACATTCCCATAGACACACGCCTAAACCTTGTGGACAGCCTTCCCAGATGAGTTGAAGCTGTTACAGCTGCAAAGGGTGGGCCAACTCAATATTGAACCCTAGAGGCTAAGACTGGGATGCCATTAAAGTTCATGTGCGTGTAAAGGCAGGTCGACCAATACTTTTGACAATATTATGACTCCAGCATATTGTATAGCACTTTATGAATACACTGAAACAAATGCCACTGTTACCCTCCCTCGGAAAATGCTAGCTGCCTGGCTGATTCTTGCTTCAATACACTTAGAAATTGAGCCAGAACAAATGTGCAGACCAAAAAAGCCAGATCTCCTTAACTGCATACTTGAAATCACAATGTTCAGAAAAGAAGGTCAGCAATGGCAGTCTATATACTTCCTCTGTACTGGTTTCTATTAAAAAACAAAAAGATGAACATATAAAAATCACAACCTCATTTCCAGAGTTCAGGAAAGCCTTTGTATACAATTTAAAGACCAGTATTTCTCCACACCACCTGACAAACTTTGATTTAAAAAAAAAAAAAATAAAGTAAAAGTATTGAATACAAAAGTGTATGGCCAGCTTTAAAGTGTCACTAAACCCACATAATTAAAAACTATCAATAAAATGCTGTATTACATGCTGTTCATATTCACTGAGTTACTATGGGATTAGTTTTCTGTATTCTGCAAAAAACCTGGTTTATCCCACTGTTCTCTGTCTCCCACTCCTGTGCACATCCCCAATACAGTTGGGGATTTTTGCAGAGCAATGTTGGCAGGTACTGCACATGCTCAATTTTCAGTGAGTTTCTATGCCGTGCATTTCCTCCCTATCACATCTGAGCAGCACATGTGACTATAGAGTCACACATGTGGTGGTATACATAGTGGTAAAATGACAGCACACTCCCTCTCTCCTCCTCCATGACCACAAACCAGCTAAACACAATGGGGTGGAATATTACATTTTGATTGATGGAGGCTTCACCTCCCTGTTCTAGGACACAGGCTGGAGGGGTGTGACACAGCCTGATGACTGCCACCCACAGCATGGTATTGCCAAAAAATAAAGATTTGATTTCAAATATATATTTGTATGATGATTAAAAACCGTTTGATATTTATTTTTACTCAGTATCCCAAAGGCTTTTTTTATTTTTTTTATTATTTTGAACATGTGACCAGCAGCAGAAGACTAGAAGCTCCTCCTGTTTTCCTGCAGACAGGCTCGGAAAGAGCTGGGTCATTGACAGTTGTAACTCAATTAGAAAAAAAAGGTACTTAGATTTTTTTTTTAAATTAAAATAATGACAGTTGCATCACCCATATACAGAAAGAGAAAGGATAATGTAAATTAAACAGTGTGTGTTTAGTATCACTTTACGCTAGGTTCACATCTGTGCGGGTGATGCCGCTGCGGATCCGCACAAAAATCTGTGCAGCAGCACCACCCGCACAGAGGAATGCGGACCCGCGGGCGGATGCCATCAGTTTTCCAAAGAGGTGCAGGGACTTCTTCCCTGCATGTCCCGGGTATGGGAGTCCATTCAAATAAATGGGCTCTCGTGCCTGTACAAAATGCGGCCCGCACGGCCGCATATATGTGAACCGGGGGGTTAATCTGACCACAGACAATGCAAGGTGGATGGAGGGACATTGTATCCTGATAGCGGGGACTCTCCACTGTCAGAATACAATGATCAGCAGCTGCATGATTGAGAAACATTTTCCAACAAGATAATTCAGTCCCCTTCTGAAGTGGCTGAATTTCAAACTAGCTATGGCTAACTTTACTCTGTGTTCTGCTGTAGGACTCTCACTTTTTTTTTTTTACTCCTTTGTCCCTTTGTCCTCCATGGATGTTACCCACAAATCCCGCATTTGCAGCAAACCTTGGTTCAATGTTACCATGGTGTTGTGGTATTAATATCAACATCACAGTTCCTCCCCATGGCAATAAGTAAACACAAGAGATTTTATACAGAAGTGAGTGACAATCTATTCCAAAGACAGATGAGGACGTCATCAGGACGCTCTGAACATCTTGGCACGGTAGGATGCCATGAATGTGACAGCAACTGGGCATGTGCAAGTGATGTCACAAGGAACAATAACAGTTATATCTCTGGAAGGGAATGGCTCGGAACAAAATCTTTGCCATCAACATGTGGCATGTATAATTAGATTGGAGACCAGGACAAGTTCGAATCTCAACCTTACTTCTACTTTAATGTCTCGTTCACATTAGCAAACCACAAATACACAGCCGCTGGTGTACACTAGAAAGGATGCCTATGCCCCAATTGTATACTTTAAAATCTATTGGTTATTAAGCATTTGGTTTTAAATATCACCACAAGGAGGGGATATTGTATTGATATCAAATTGATATGGAGATGTTCTTGTGCTTTTTATGGCCCTGATGAAGGGGATGCTCTTGGATCCTTGAAATGTGTTGGCTTTTTAAAGACTTTGCTCCTGACTTTTACTGGAATAAAGCGGTAAGTGGACCTCTTAGCAGTGGTGTGGCGTGCCAGTTTTCATTTTTCTTACATATGCCCCAATCCTGGCGTATCGCAATCTGTCATGTGTGACATTTCAGGACAGTTCTAGTCATGGCAGTGTTGTTGTGAAGTGGTGGTTTGCGTCATATCCTGCTGAACTGATGAAAAGTACTGCATGCACCAAGGCAACACTACAGTGTGACCTAACAATATTAGAAAGCAAGCATTTTGCCTTGTCATTGCATGGGATCAGTGCTGGAAATAGCTGCCAGTGCAGCCCCCAATGCATCTGGTGTGAATGAGCTCTAAAAGATGATACACAGTTGTAACATAAGAGATTAATGTAATAGTGCAAAACTCTTGTTCTTGAAGATATATTTGTGATGCACACTAAAATGACTTCCTGCACTTTGTATTGGATGGCAAACGGCAGGTCCATGCACTCCAAATGCGACAGGCACTGTACTGGAGGGCATGCATAAAACAATTAATTTTCTTGCATCCATGCTTTTGTCTGTACAGGATATTGCAATAAATGCATGGCAATGAATATAGAGGGCTAGAATCAAAAGGGTTCTACAAGAAATAGAAACTGAAAGCATTTAGCCGAAATACAAAGCTCTGTTTTATCATGTTCGAAGATCTGAGTGAACAAAAAACAAAGTACAATGTTGGAAGTCTACCAACAGGCTTAATACATGCAGTTTTATCATCATGATTAAAGAGCTGTCACAATGGAGAAGGATATGGCCAACTTACAGTTAGACAATATGTACAGTGATCCCTAGCACTATATAGGTAAAACTCGAAAAATTAGAATATCGTGCAAAAGTTCATTTATTTCAGTAATGCAACTTAAAAGGTGAAACTAATATATGAGATAGACTCATTACATGCAAAGCAAGATAGTTCAAGCCGTGATTTGTCATAATTGTGATGATTATGGCTTACAGCTCATGAAAACCCCAAATCCACAATCTCAGAAAATTAGAATATTGTGAAAAGGTGCAATATTCTCAGCTCAAAGTGTCCCACTCTAATCAGCTAATTAAGCCATAACACCTGCAAAGGGTTCCTGAGCCTTTAAATGGTCTCTCAGTCTGGTTCAGTAGGAATCACAATCATGGGAAAGACACTGCTGACCTGACAGTTGTGTAGAAAACCATCATTGACACCCTCCATAAGGAGGGAAAGCCACAAAAGGTAATTGCAAAAGAAGTTGGATGTTCCCAAAGTGCTGTATCAAAGCACATTATAGAAAAGTTATGTGGCAGGGAAAAGTGTGGAAGAAAAAGGTGCACAAGCAGCAGGATGACTGCAGCCTGGAGAGGATTGTCAGGAAAAGGCCATTCAAAAGTGTTGGGGACTTTCACAAGGAGGGGACTGAGGCTGGAGTCAGTGCATCAAGAGCCACCACACACAGACGGATCCTGGACATGGGCTTCAAATGTCGTATTCCTCTTGTCAAGCCGCTCCTGAACAACAAACAATGTCAGAAGCGTCTTACCTGGTCTGTTCCTCAGTGGTCCAAAGTCCTCTTTTCTGATGAGAGCAACTTTTGCATCTCATTTGGAAACCAGAGTATGGAGGAAGAATGGAGAGGCACACACTGCAAGATGCTTGAAGTCCAGTGTGAAGTTTCCACAGTCTGTGGTGATTTGGGGAGCCATGTCATCTGCTGGTGTTGGTCCACTGTGCTTCATTAAGTCCAGGGTTAACGCAGCCGTCTACCAGGAGATTTTGGAGCACTTCATGCTTCCTTCCACAGACGAGCTTTATGGGGATGCTGACTTCATTTTCCAGCAGAACTTGGCACCTGCCCACACTGCCAAAAGCACCAAAACCTGGTTCAATGACCGTGGGATTACTGTGCTTGATTGGCCAGCAAACTCGCCTGACCTGAACCCTATAGAGAATCTATGGGGCATTGCCAAGACAAAGATGAGAGACATGAGACCGAACAATGCAAAAGAGCTGAAGGCCGCTATTGAAGCATC